TCGTGCTCTTTATATCACTATCGCTCGTGCTCTTTATCTCGCTCTCGCTCTCAGTATAACTCTTTCTCTCCGGCACATTCTATATCGCTCTCACTTGTAGCTCGCTCTCGCTCAACCTGAAGCATATGTATATGTTACATATAAGGTATATATGGACATGTACATATACTACTACGTAACATATACATGTATGTGCGTGTGTCTTCCCAGCGATAAAGTTGGACAATGAACGAACATGGACGGGCTAAATCAGGCCGAAATAGAGCTGTTAAGTGATCGGATATGGAGTATGCATTGGTTGATGACCATGTCAATAAATAGAAAAAATACTTTTGTCGTGACAAAACAAGATGAAGTAAGGATGATCTTCTTAAATCCTGCTTCTACAACCACCCGCCGTAATAAATTACATAGCAAGAGATTGGCAGACGATGGAAGATAACATTGAATGTAAAGGGCGAAGGACGGTTGGGTGTAAAAAATGAGAGTGAGGGAAGGAGTTTCGCAATTGGTTGTGTGAATGGGGGAAAACGAGAAAGAGAAAGAAGCATATGGATAATATTATTTTATTGATGTCATAGAAAGCAACAGTTTGATATTAATTTTTGATCATCATTGCCTGTACGTGATTTGACTGTTTCGACAAAATAGGAAACAAGTGCATATGGAGGCGCTGAGTCAGTATAGTATCACAATACTGAACACGGTCAACGCTCTCGCTCTCATCATCAAACTCAATCTCGTATGCAGATTTGCTCTTGCCCTCTTCAGCCACTTGTCGCTCTCGACCTCATCGAATTTTACTCACTCTCGTTCTTGCTCTCGACCTATTTTGCCTCTACTCACTCCCATTCTTGCTCTTGCCATATTTGTCCTCTCGTCGTTCTAGTTATTGCTCTATCCCTATTCGTTATACAATCGATCTCGCTCTGTCTCGTATTCTTCCTCTATCGCTCTCGTTTTGGTCTCKCTCTCGTTTATGTTTTCGCTCCTACGTCGATTGCAGTCGTCATTTCTTGAACTGACGCATCCGTCCATTCACAGCCACCTCCTCTTTCCAACGCAGCTGCGACTTCTCCGATTCCTAATGAATTAGCAGAACCCAACCGTCATACCTATTGATGCTTATATAACGTTACATTCGCATTCACCCGCATGCACCGCACCAGAGAAACAACAAAGGAACCATTTAGAAGAAACATTCTTAGCCAGCATCATGTTGTCATACAAGCCAAGCAGTCCCTCGTCCGTCGAAGAAAATGAACTTCTTGCTACACAAGCTGCACTTGAACAGACTTGTAAGGAAATTGTAGACCTGAACGGACAGCTTCGCATAACGAAGCACGATGTCAACAACAAACGGTACAGGTTAACTATGGTGGAGAGGACAGGGGATATACTATAATGGATGCTGAAGGAGGAGCGCGAGGCTAGACTACGTCTCGAAGAGGAAGTAGCCAATCTGCAATCACGGATTTCTGCGTTGGAGCACTCTAGATGAATTAGTGTACTAACACATGCTTCTAGTTCTTTTGTAGTTGTTTTGTATGTTTAACGTACTGGGTATCAATATGAACCAGATAATATTATAACTATCGTTCTCGTTATCGCAAATTACTATATCACAAATAATATTATAACTCTCGTCCTATCTATTTAACTTCGTAACGGATGTATGGATAGTAACGTTGTTGTTACCAATGACGGAAAAATGGGTTTACTATGAACAAGCCATTGTTACCCGACGTAAGTTTGAGAACAGACAACTTGCTGCAAAAATAGCAGAGTTTGGAGGTGCCCCTCGAAAGATTGGTTAAAAGATGTCTACCGCATTGATCTATTCATCGTCAAAAGCAACTTGCAAAACAAATATAAAAATTACAATGTTGGAAAAAAAAACACAAAAATTTTATACTTTCGACTATCGCTCTGGTTATCATCATCGCTACGGTTCTCACTCTCGCTCTCGTCAAGAATTCCTATTTACACAGTTCCCATGTACGCAACGTTGAATGTAGATGTACTGTTCACATAACTACACAATACCCAAAGCATTATTGCACTCAACACCCAAACATGCTGCCTCACGCTCTCGCTCTCGAGTGCACTCTCGTTCAGTCTATCGCACTTTCCAAAAAATTAATAGATTTTAATCTCACTCTCGCTCTGGCCATCGCTCTCATCCTCTCTCACGTTCACATCCTCATTCTCGTCACTCACTCCAATAGACTTATTATCTCGATCTCGTTCTCGCTTATCTCGCTCTAGTTCTTGTTCTTCTCCATAAACGTCCCCATAACTACTTCACCGCATATCCATTAAATACGGTAGGAAGACGTTGCACGCAATTACACCCAATTAATGATGCTTACCAACACAATTCAATGTATATTAGGCGATGCTTCGTCTTATATATACCACATACATCTGCATTCTGGTTTTATTTCATTTCTACTGTCTGCGAGAAAGACATAGAAAAAATGTCTGAGGGCAGCAGTGGACTGAGAGTAACCATGGCAGAGCCAGATCAAACATTCAAAGACAAGGGGGTGGAGTTGCAAGAGGAGAAGAGAAACCATCAGAAAACAAGAAATATGTATATCGACTTAGAACGTACATGTCATACATTCGAAATGATGGAAAGCAAATACCGTGCAAGGGTAGACATGTTGGAGGAAGAGAACAAACAACCAAGATAGAGTGGTAGCATTGGAGGCTCGTTTGTGCGATCTGGGGGAATTGTCCCTGTAGCTATTCGATTTATGTTTCTTTTTCTTCCATCCAGAATTTTGTTATTTTATGTACTTTGATAATTCTGTTTCCTCAATGTATTTAATTTTCCATCTCTGGCGTAATTTGGAAGTCCATATCTATAGAAAATACAGATGTGGTTACAGGTCTAGCTTGTAGTCTCGTTCTTGCTCTCTTTATCATCCCGCTCTGTATCTTCGTCTCCTCACGGTACCGTTATAGTTCTCTCTCGCTCTCGCTCTTGTTCTACTTCTTCGTCTCTTCTCTGTCAAGTTATAGTTCTCTATCGATCTCGCTCTCGTCATATCTATCGTTCCCGTTCTTAGTTCTCCTCTTCATCTCTGTCTCCATCTTCGCTAGTTGTCTGCTCTCCCTGCATCTTCATACGACCTTGCCGTCGTTGATCATGCTAAACTGCTAGGGATAAATAAACAAAGAACTTAATTATTGAAATTTAATGCGTCAGCATTCGACATCACATTGACCAAACAAGGCGAGGAGAGAGGATAGGAGATGGAGAGAGGATAGGAGATGCAGAGGACAAGAGGATACAAGATTCAAAGGAGAGAGGATAGAAATGAAAAAACACGAGGGAAAACAATTGGTAGGGTAGTAATTTGGAATTTATGATGATGTCAACAAATATTTACAAAACACAAAGGAGAGGAACATATTTCATAATGAGCCTTTGACAAAGGCTATTCAGTCCAAAAACCATGTTTTTGGCTAAGTGCAAATTTAAAATTATTTTATGAACAAACTCAAAAGAACTGAAGCTTTTATATGTTATAATAAGTTAAAATATATATCTTGGATAGAAAGAATTCTGAGGTTGGAAACTTGGAATCAAGAAGGGAAAAAAAAATCGATATTTTTTTTTATCGAAAAATTCTTCCATGGATTAGTTGGAAAGAGACGGTGAACTTTTCATAATGTAGAAGATGAAAAAGAATGCAACTTCAATCAAGTTGATATTTTTCTAGTCTCCAACCGATATTCATCTCTGCGACTCAGCCCAGAACATCGATCATCACAAATTTGCTCGCCAGTACCGCTGCTTGACGAACCGAAAGTACTTAGCACTGAAATAATTCGCCGAGAGAGACTGTTTTAACTTTAAGCCTCAGTAATGTCACTGCTCAATCAACTCTTTAACAGAGGGGTCTTTGCTGGAAAATGGTCAGCTTCCGATTTTTCTAAACCCTCTCACTATTCTTTTCTTTCTTGAATCAAATTCTTAATTTCATTGACTATGGTTTAATTTTGGTTCGGATCCTTAGCATTACTTTTAAGACAAATTAGTCTTATTTTGCGGTTACCTGATGATTGAATTCATCTGGAATTGTTATCTTTCCGTGGATTACTTGATCGTTGGGGATCTTTTTGTTTCGCCAACTTATAAAACCCAATACCCACAAACCAAATTTGGGCTGCGATCTTTATTCAGCAGAAACTTCTGTTCCCCAAAACTTGACGGAATTTTACAGAATGGTTCGCTTGTTTTTATACGATTTCGCTAGTTGAATTTTGTTTCGTGGGCTGTTAACTTTACCATCTTTCAATTAGGCTGATCTTTTCTGTTTTTGACAAGTTTTCATGTCAAAAAATTTCGAATCAAAGTATCAAACAACCTGATAGCATCCCGTGCATTTTTCTTGGGAATGCAAAGTAATAATATGTAATGGGGGGTTTTTGTAGCAAAACTTGCTTGAGCCTGGCAATTTCGCGAATCAAGTTGCTGCAGAATAAGAGGGATCTGCAGCTGAAGCATATGCACAAGGAGATAGCACAGTTCTTGCAGGCCGGGCAGGAACCGATAGCTCGGATTCGGGTACTGGTTCCTATCTTTGAGATCAGTAATGTCTATCAGTTCAGATGTTTGCTCTACTATATGGTAAAATAACATATGTAGGTATCTGTTTGGGTAGGTGGAGCATGTAATACGGGAACAAAACATATGGGCTGCATATGAAATTCTAGAGCTTTTCTGTGAGTTTGTTCTTGCTCGTGTTCCGATCATCGAAAGCCAGAGGTAATTTATAGCTAAAAGAGTTGTTTCCTTATATTCAACTTCTTCTTAATTTGTAGTATGATTGAAAGTTAAATGGATTGTTAAATACTTTCTGTTGGTACTTTGGTTCCAATGAACTGAAACTCTAGAATTTCACTTTCCACCCGTAATGCAATGGATGTTGTTGCATCGGTGGTCAAGACCTATGCTAGAAGAAAGAGAAAAGAACTGTCCACTAGTGTTCAAGAAAAGAACTGTCCACTAGTGTTCAAGTATCTTTTATGCTGTGAATCTAAAATTACTTGGGTAGTTATTATATGTAACTTCTGCAAGTATTTTTTGTTAGTTATGTATTGGGATAAGAAGGAAGAAAGTCAGACGGTTAGGACGTGGTTCATTTTGTCAAGAAACTGTATTGCAGGTAGAGATCTTTGCCCTCTGGCCATTGTTATAGGGTTGTAATATCCCACTGGAAGAGCTAATAGTAACTAAAGATCATATCAGATGTCTAATGGATTCTTGATGCAAAATTAGAATAAATCAGTCCTGAAAAGTTCACATGCATCAATTTTCAGAGTTTCTCGATCACTATAACCGCAGAAAACCTTCTCATTTCAAATGCCGATTTTTCTAGGTGCTCTCATATTTTATTTTGCTGCACACCTCTTTAGATTTAGCTGTTGTATCTAGGAATTGAGTTTGAAAGTTTTGGTTATGGTCATGTCGTGGAATGAGATTATCAGTGGAGCCACTGATCCATGAAGACGAGGAGCGAAGGAAAGAGAGTTCTTTGAGTGACAAAGATTCATTAATTAACCATGAAAAATGGAAGTATTACTTAGCTTACTTTCGTTCCAGTCATGCCCATCTCTGTTTGTGTTAGACTTTTGAATGCTGACAGATGCGTCCCTTCATACTTTTCAGTGGATCCTTGGGTCTAAATCATGTTCCTGAATTATAATTCCATGAACTCATCCATGTTCATAAATCCCAGTTCATAAAGTCATCAGTTATATGTAGGTGCACGTATTGAGTTTATGAATCCTGAGAAAGTCTTTTTTCTTTTTTTTTTTTCCTTCTCTGTGTGTAAGAAACATAAATTTCATAGATGTATGAAATTACAGAAGATAATTTCAAAAAACGGAATTTCAAAAAGGCCATCAACTTGATACCAGATTGTTAAGACATTTGTAAATGGGTAGTGACATTTGCAACAACCCAAGGGCTATTAACAAAACTCTATCAAAGAACATATTGAAGGGGAGGTATGTATCGTTGAAGATCCAGTTATTCCTTTCAATCCATATACTCCATAGGAAGAATCTTATAAAATCCAAAACTATTAACAGGTTACAAAAGGTAGGGACAGGTTAGAAAAAGGTGATCTTGAGATTTAGCGTCTTCCATACACATATGACAGCAGTTAGAAAAGGAGAGGCTTCTTCCTTTGAACCCTGTCATTGGTATTGATAGAGTTGTGACTAAGGCTAAGCTCAAAAAAAAAAAAAAGAGTTGTGACTAAGGCTAAGCTCAAAAAAAAAAGGGTATTTGGGTTTCAGAAATATTTAATATGGAGTTGCATCTCGTAATTGTGAGAGAGTTTGTTGAACATGGCTTTGACAGGAATTTATTTTTGTTGGGTCTTCCAGCCATTGCCACCTATCTTTGAATTGGGAAGGCTTTGTCAAAGATAGCATGTGAGATAGATCCATCCTATTGATGACGTCATTGTCTTTTGGAGGCCTTTTGAAAGTGTAATCCCAATGAATTCATGGTTAAGGATCATAGATCTGAAACCCGCGTGGTCTTAGTGGACAAAGCGAAGAGATCTGAGTAAGCCATAGTCAATGTGGAAGCTCCTAGCCAACTATCATGCCAGAAGGCTGCCTTTGCCAATTATGCATAATGCCTCTGTTTTGATAACCGTATGGGTAAGAATGGCCTTCCATGGGCCTTTATGGTTGCTTGAGATGTTGGAGGTCCAAGCGTCAATTTCTATTGTCCCATATTTAGTAGTAATGAACCTCCTCCAAAGCTGATTTTTTTCCATAATATACCTCGATGTCCACTTAGATAGCAAGACTTTGTTCCTCATCTTGATCTTACCGATGCCAAGGCCTCATTGAGAAGCGGGACTTGGACGTTTTGCCAATTAACAAGGTGAGCTTTACCACTGTTTTTGTGCCTTCCCAAAGGATATTTCGAATCAATTTCTCTAGTAGATTTGCAGCCTAGCCAAAGCTGGGATTTGGAATAAGGACAGATATTATATTGGAAAATTAGAGAGAACTGATTGGATAATGATAAGTCTAACTCTTCATTGAAGCTAGGAGATCCCTAAAAGATGATGAATTTAAATAGTTTTCAGCCTAGCTAGCCTTACTTAGCTTCGCTTCGGTCAGAGATGAAGTTGACGGTGGGCATTGGTCCTTGGAACTTTCCAGGCCTTTTCGGTAGCCTCTCTATGTAAACAACAGAACTCTTCATCCTTGCCTAAGGATTTGTTCGGTGCTTTGTGGAAATCTAAAAGCCCAAAGAGAGTTAATGTTCTCATATGGATTCTTCTCTTCGGTAAAGTTAATACAGTGGATGTTCTTCAAAGAAAGAATCCTTCAATGGTTCTTTTTCCTTCCATGTGCTCACTGTGTGGAAAGTCTTGTGAGTATCAGCAACGTATATTTTTTCAGTGTTATTATTCGGCTACTTGCTGGAAGCTTTTCTTTGAGATCTTTGAGGTTTATTGGGTTTTTGACTTCGAAGTTGCAAAGAATGTTCAATCTTTGTTAATTGGCCCGAGTCTTGCGTCAAAGGCGGGTCTTCTTTGGTGTAATGGAGTCAAAGCTTTGCTGTTCGACATGGGGTTCGAGAGAAATCAAAGGCTTTTTAAGGGGAAACGAAGAGATTCGGTTGAAGTTTTCTACCTAGCAAAGTTTAAGGCTTCTCAATGGCATGCTCTTTCCAATGTTTTTGTTAATTATTCTTCGAGTATGATTTGTTCTAACTGGAAGGCTTTTATAACTCCCCCTTAGCTTTTGTTTTCGTCTGTTTTGTTTGCTGCTTTGTTTACTGTTTCGTTTATATTCTCACTCCTTCGAGGGTTTGTATCTTTGAACAATTTTCTGTTCCTTTTCATTAAATCAATAAAAAGTCCGTTTCTCGTTCAAAAAAAATATTAATGATAAGTCTAACTCCATGGAGATGAAAAGGTGATTCCATTTGGTGAGCTTGCATTCTATTCTTTCAATGATATACGAAGTCAAAAAGTCTTTTTCCTGTAGTTACCATTTAAAGGAATGCCTAGATAGGTTGCAGGCCAAGTGATCACCCGGTAGTCGAAAGCCTTGGTAATGTCACAGATTGTATGATGCTGTAGGTTAACTCCCAAAATCTATGATTTGTTGTAATTTGTGTTCAACCCCAATGCTACTTTGAAAATATTGATGATGATGAAAAGGTTGCGCAAGCTAGTTGGATTTGCTAAAAGAATAGCAATGTGTCAACCACAAATTGTAGGTGGCTCATGCTTAGGGAAGCATTTGTTGTTGTGTAACCAGTGATTAATCCCCTTTTTTTCACCTTGACAGTTCAGCCTACTCAAACAATCCATAACAATGATGAAGAGGAACGAGGATAGGGGTATCCTTGCTTGTCCCCTTTGAAGACTTGATTTTACCTCTAGGTTTACCATTTATGTTGATGGAGAAATTTGTAGTGGAGATGCAAGCGTGTATCCATTTCATCCACGTTTGTCCAAAACCTTTGTTCTTTAACATAGAATTGAGGAAATCCCAGTCTACTTTATCTAAGGCCTGTCCAAGATCAAGCTTTATTACCAACCCATCCATCTTCCTTGTTTTCCATTATCTATTAGTTCATTGATGCGTCAAGAATTTGTCTACCTTCAACAAAAGCTAATTGGTATCCTGAATTGTGTGAGGGAGAGGAGATTTGAGTCTTTTAGATAGAACTCTAGCCAAAATGTTGTAGGTGCAAGGGATGAGAGTTATAGGTCGAAAATCATGTACTGATTTTGTCTTCTTTTTTTTTGGGATAAGGCAGATATAGGTTTCGTTGAGGCTGGCGTTGATGATACAATTTTAAAATAATCGTGGAACATCGCCATTATGTCGGCTTTGATGATGTTTCAAGACTTTTTAAAGAATTCCGCTGTGAAACCATCGGGCCTATGGGCTTTGTTTGTACCCAAATTAAGAACTACCTTGTGGACTTCATCCTCTGTAAACTCCTGTTCCAACAGCTTCTTGTCATTTTCTATGATAGGATCCCAGTGAAGGTTAGAAGGGTAAAACCGTTGATTTTCTTGTATGGTGTAGAGTTCTTTGTAGAAACCCACAATTTCAGCTTCAATATCCTTGACAGAGGTCATGCTTTTCCCTTTCCTAGATAGGAGCTCAAAGATGGCCGCTTTTCTTCTCTTATTAGCGAGACTATGGTGGAAGAAACTTGTGCTTTCATCACCATTTTAAGTCATTTAAGCTTGCATATTTGTCGCCAAAAATCTTCTTCTTTTGCTGCCAAGTTAAAAGGGGTTCTTTTAAGAGATTCTCTCATTCAAACTGGCAGGGGTGGCAGGGGGAGGGGCTGTACCTTCTACCTTGTCAACCTCTCTGAGCTTTTTGGATAGGCTATTTTTTTGCGGCGAATACACTCAAGTTGATCTTTGTTCCACTGGTTTAGAGGCATTTTCAGGGCTTTTAGCTTCATCATCAATCCATGCTGTGGTCATCCTTGCAGAGAGTTACTTCTCCACCAAGTTTCCATAAAAGAATGGAAGAAGATTTCATAAGCCACATATTTTCAAATCTAAATGGAGTTGGACCCCGTTGTATGTGCCCAAATTCACGTTGGATGGAGATATGATCAGATATAACTCTGTCAAGCTGATTGGAGAGAGAAGAGCTAAATTATCGATGCCGCCATTTGTAACAAGGAATCCCTCAATGAGGAGAAAGACCTTTTATTTGACCAGGTATATTTGCCACCTTGTAGGGGGGACCTCAATGAGTGCGAGTTCAGAGATGATATTATTGAAAAGTTGCATAGTCTTGTTGAGAGGCCTGCCATGAGACCTTTCCAAACACCATCTTGAGACATTGGAGTCCCTTGCTAGAATCCAAGAATATTCGCAAAGACATGATAGATATCTGATCTCCTGCTAGAAAGTAGCATTGGAATTAGGTCTTGTAGGGACATATATACTTGACATCAAGAAGGAGAAACTATCAATTAGAGAGTGATGGAGAGAGAGTGAAAGCACCTTCAATAACTTCTTTCATGGTGAAGGATGGATCGTTCCAAAGATTGAGAATTTCCCGAGCCGATCCAACAGCATCCAGAGCAGATTTGGATAGTTTCGTAATAGTCAATAGTTTTGTTTCTCGGAGGATCACCAGATTTGGATTAATGCGGGAGATGGATTACTTGATGAGAGTTCTCTTTCTCCAAGAGCCCAGGCCTCTGATATTCCAAGAATGAATTTTCATTTTGACTGTAGAAAAACCCCTAGAAGCATCTTGCGCTTCTCATAATCAATGGGTGTGGAGAGGTTTTTTAGTTCTCTGATGCCAATAGCAAGTATGAGGCGGTATAATTTCAGTTTTTGTAGGGAGAGAGTGTTAATAAAAAGTTTGTCAGCTTCGTACTCTGTTTCTTGAGGGTTTGTTTCGAGAGGAGGGGTAAGTGTTTCAAGTTTCTTCGGCGGGAATCTTGAGAAAGTTATTAACTGCAAAGTTATTTCAGTAATGCTATTCTAAGCTACAAAAAGAGAGACCGGGTACCATGTTCATTCAATCAAAAAACCTAGTGTACTAGCCATCTACTGAAACTTTATCACTCAATTTTCATGTCACTACCAAGTAGTCGTGGAGTTTACATAACTTCTAATAGTGGTACGTTATTGTGAGTTATTTTGGTTAGTAATTGTTATAACTTAGAATGTGTTTAGGAGTGCTTGTAACATAAGTTTTTAACTATAAGCACTTAATGAAAAGTATTTGATAACAAATCACTTTGATGTTTGGTTTTACACTCTTAAAAGTGATTCTTATCAAGCACTTGGCTTTTTGTTGACAACTTTTATGTTACTAACATGATTTTGAGATTGCTTTTGTGCATGGAGAAAGGCCTAAAGCACTTCCAAACATATTTGGATATCTAGATAACTCTAGTTTCTGTCCTTATAACAATAAACAGTAGGTTCTATTAAGTGCCTATCTAATGGTGATGGAAGATTTAGTGGAGCCTTGCAGTGTCTAGGAAAGAAGTGAAGATGAAAGTTCCTATGTTAAAATGTCAATGAGTTCTATTCATTTGCTTGATTCTGTTCATATCCTTGCCCAGTCTCCATTGCGTTTTCATCTTTAACTAAGACCATATTGAAAACCTGAAATATTAATGTGCTTACTTTTTGTGCATTTTGTTTGTCTATTATTAACTATTAAACTTACCATGACAGAGAATGTCCAGTTGAATTGCGAGAGGCTATTTCCAGCATAATATTTGCTGCTCCTCGATGTTCTGACCTTCCAGATTTACTGCAGTTGAAGAATTTATTTGCAGTCAAATATGGCAAAGAATTTGTCTCTGCTATTTCTGACCTTCGTCCTGATTCTGGTGTTAATCGATCAGTTGAGTCCATCCAAAGTTTATCTTGAGCAACACTATTGTATTTTTAAGAACAAAAAGAGATTTGATGATTATTTGTTTTCTTTCAGATTATTGAAAAGCTTTCAGTGAGTGCCCCTCCTGGAGAGTTGAAGCTCAAGGTCATGAAGGAGATCGCACAAGAGCATGGTCTCAACTGGGATTCTTCCAACACTGCATCTGAATTTAGTAAAACCCACGAAGATCTACTGGTACAATTTCGCCAACTTGCATTTTACTTGTAGCTGAAAACTCTGATTTTTTGTGTGTAGATTGATCTGAAATGCATTAGATGTTACATAAACTAGTTTTCGGGTCACAGTCTTCTTACTTTCATGAACCTTGACAATGAAGCTCGTTGATGACTTGCAGCACAACTCTGTATTTGATCTTGGATTCCGTAGTTCATAGTACTGTAGTGAAGTTATAAATTGTATATGTTCTTGCTTCTGGAAACAACTCACCCTATTCTGCTGACTGCATATTTCTCCATCCTCTCCCTTGTATGGATTTATAGCCGTTGTCCTGAGAAGGCTGAAAGGAACCAAGATTAGAACTATGGAACTGAATTGGAAAATGTTACGAGATTCGAGGCTCTCTGTCCTCTGGAGGGGATCCACCAAAATTCTTTTGCCCACCACCCCTTTTTCTATCTATAACCGATGACTACACTAGCAAACTAATAGCACCCTATTGAAAAACAGTAAGACTCTAATAAGCTGAACAACTCATTCACATAGTTAGACTACAGCTTCTAATGAAAGTTTGTGTTCCCTTTACTTCAAAAAAATAAAAAAGAAAAAGAAAAAGAAAAAGTCACTTTTACCCCTATTGACTCGGTTTGTCAATTTTAACCGTAAATATATCAATATTATCTAAATAAGTGGTACAACTAATGCCCTCAATTAGTTAGGTTTACATTCTTTTAAAGATTTGTGGCTTGCTATGAGTACTTCTATGACTGGACAATACAATTTTTGTAAGAATTGAGTATTCTGGTCATGTTGGATGCTTTTTGTTTAAGCTAATTTCAACATTTTATTGTTAAGTTTGAGTACTTTTTACCTGAATAAATTTGTAGCTTGATCTTGGGTGTTTTAGTTTGTGTTGAATTTTGTAAGATTATGTAGTTGGTTCGTGAACAGTTTTTTTTAATCTTTTTTTAAGGAGATATTAATTGCCTCACTTATCATTCCTCAAGAAAAGAAAAAAAACCTCACTTATTCAAATTTAAAGATTAAATTGACAAATGGAGCTCAAGTACAAACGTGAAAAAATGAAACTTTTTCCAACAAAAATTTATTGGAGCCTTTTTATGGGTCACCCAGAGGAGAGAGGAACCAGCACGTCTTCAACGAAAAAGAACAATCTTTTGACCAGTTTTATGAAGCTAGTCTATTTGGTTGTATCTGGGTGTAAATGCTCCCCTATTTCTCACCACTATAGCTTTTCTTCTTGATGTAATCTCTTGAAATTGGCCCACTTTTGTCCTTTCATATCATCAATTAAATTGTTTCTTACCAACAAAAAAATAGTTGGATTTGTCTTCTGGAATTTCGGTGTTTAGGAATATTTGAGGGGAGAAGATTCTCCCCCTCTTCTATGAGCTTGTAAATTTATGGCCTTCTTTCTCTCTCTCTGATGCAAGATGGAGTTTAAAAGTTTATTATTATAGTAACGAAATCCTGTTTTTGACGGATCATTCTGTGGCCTTTGTCTTGCGATATGCAGGGCGGACCGAAGGTAGTACACGGAGCAGCAGCCTCTCAAACTCCCCTCCAACATGGCTCTTCCAATTCTTCCGGGACAGCACGTCCTGTTGTGTCTCCCACGGGAAAGCAAGAACCTGATCGCCACCATACATTCAGCCCAATTAACAATACTACGATAAATGAAATAAAACCAGCATCGAAGAATTTTAATTTCAAACCAGAAGTTGATGCTAAATTAGACACAATACCACCTCCATCCGACATATTAGAGAAAGCCAGAGCTGCCATCGCTTCAGCTGAACGTGCCACTGCAGCAGCCCGTGTAGCTGCCGAGCTAACTAATGTCAACCTTGGAGCAATGAAGCTTGAAGGAGGAGCACAAGCTTCTGATTGTTGAAGACAGAAAAGAGAAGGTAATATATACATTATTGTTTGATTCTGAGGCATAAATTCTGTGTTTGAAGTTACTCACGAGTGTTGAAAGATTGAAGAGTGAAGAGTCAATCCACAAGTGGAACCAAATCAAATCAAATGTATGTAATTAATACAGTTACAAGTAAAATTTATTTCCATGTATTTGTTGTGTGGTTAAGTCGTAAAATCCTCACCTTTGGTGATGTTGGTCTACTGCTTTCAGTTTGATGCAGATCACTTTTGAATTCATTCACTAAATTTCAAAAATAAAAACAAGTTTCTTGAAAACATCGTGTTTTTTTTTTTTTTTTTTAAGTTTCAATATCTTGACTTAGATTGTGAAAACATTTAAAAAAAAAGTAGATGAAAGAATACAAAGGTGAAAGTACTTAATTTTCAAAAATAGAAAATATAAAACAAGTAACAAGACAATTATCCAGCGAGGCTAAAATTAATAAAAAAAATCTGTTTGGATAATGATTTTGTTTTTAATTTCTAAAATTCACAGTTGTGTGGTACCATTTTCTTTTGCCCGTGTCTTATTTTGCAAAAATATCATTAAATTTCTAGCCAATGCCTGGGTGGGTGCAAGGGCCATGCATTAAGAAGCACTGAATTAACCCCCAAGCAAAAGAAGGGGCCTTTTTTTTTTATTTAAATTCATTTCATGTGAGTGGATGATAAGATAAATTAAAAAAAAAAAGAGAGTGAAAGAAAAAGGATAAGATATTGTGTTTTCTAAAGATAAAAATGATAAAATATCGAGATTTTGCAAGCGTATTCAAATCTCCTTGACCTTCATATTTGTTGCACTAAAAAAATTTATTAATATCAAAATTTTGGGAAAACTATTAATATCACCCTTAAACTATAGCTCTGGTTATATCACCCTTTCAATTTGATTCATCATCCCTCTGTCACCTATGACAATTTATAATTAAACCCTTAAATATATCTAAATGTACAAGCTACCGTAAACTAAGGGGTTTTTTTTTTTGGATAAAACTGTAAACTAAGGATTGTTACACTCAAACATTTGAATTATACCATGGTTATAATTAAACCTAATCTTTGTTAGCTCTCTAAAATTTGAAAAGTATAATATTAACCATGAAAAGGATTTGGTTTTCAAATCGATATTGAGGTGCAATCTCGATTCAAGGAAACAAAAAGTTGATGGAAAAAAAAAGTTTGAGTTTGATTATAATAATCTTATAGTTCGAGAGGGTATGATTGGAATAATGGTTATAGTTCAGAAATTTAATGCACATTTTGGAATCTTTAAAAGTTTTGTTGTAATAATTTTGTAACTTTAGGGTCCTGATTGAGTGATTGAAACAACCCCTATGGTTTATTTTTGTAATTTTCCATAATCTTACAATTTTTCATGTGTCTACATGGTTGTGAATTTGTACAGTTAAACTCATTCATTACCTTCTATACATTAATTGTGACATGTTAGGAGAGGGGTAAGGTGGGAACTTTTTCTTTTGTCTTCATTAAATTTTGAGTATTTAATAATTTATATTAGTTTTTATACAAATTCATTCAAGTTTCTGGCTGCCTATTTTATAAGTTGTCTTTCCATTTTTTTCCCTTTTTCTATAAAAGGTACCAAAATGTGTCTCACGAACCAAACAAATTTAATAAATGTTGAAAAGGGTTAAAATAAAATTTAAATAATTCATATATATTGGAAGTATTTTAATGAAAAGAAATTTCACTGCATACCGCATACATACCATACGTTTTGAAAAATGTAACAATTTTCATTTTTTCTTTCAATTATAATATAACATTTAAGTTTGAATTTAATATAAATTATATTATTTTTGTAAAATTTTACACTTCCTACAATATTTTGAAAATATATACATATTTATTTAAATTATTCTTTAATAAATTCAAGAAAAAATCACGTCGGAAACTTACTATTAAATACCCAGTTTCATTAGTGAACATATAAATGAATCCATTTGAGTCAGAGGAGGAGTATGTTATAATTCAAAATATTATCCTCCCGTGTAGTTTTAAAAACTTCATTATCAAAAATAAAATTCAAGTCTTTGATTATAGTGATATCATGACAAAAATATATACTTTTTAAACCTCCACTATTTGTCTTACCAAGGGATTGATGAGCTAATATAACATGGTCGAATTTTTGGTTGGACGATGTGGAACGATAGAAACTTTATTGGTATATTTTAGCAAGAAATTGATGAACTAATCTTCCATGTTAACCAATAATTAGGTTCTAGTGTGATTGTCAAAGCAAGCATAGTTAAGCAGTAATTGATCTATACCTTTAACTGTGGGTTCAATTCCCCACTCCCACAGCCATTGAAAATATAGAAGAAACCACGTACATTTTTATAAAAAAGAAAATAAGTTACAGAAAAAAGTTGTGTAACCTTTTTCATCCACTTTTTATTATTATTATTATTTTATTTTGCTCAACTTATCCTCGTTTTTATATTTACCCTAACTCGGACTTTAATATAAATGACCTAAAAAAAATAAGCAAAATGTAGTATTCACACGTAGCTATATACGTCAACTTTATTATTTCTCTCTATCACGAAAATGTGTCAGACAAGAGTTTTTATTATTATTCTTTCTTTCGTTTCAGGTAGGTGAGAATTTAAACCTCTATTCTTCAATAAAATCTAATGATACTTTAAACTAAATTACATTAGTCTATATGAAAATTGAGAAATTTTACTGGAAGGACTTAATTGAGAAGTTTCAATACATGAAAGACGAATTTTAGAATTTTTAAAGTTTAAAGATCACAATCTCATTTAATGATATCAAAACTTCCACAACCTCATTTAATGATTTTGGGAAAGATTCTTCAATTAATTGAAGGATATTGTCAATTATGGCAAGGATTTGGAGGGAAATAATTGTTTCCAAGGTTGGCTTATACTCCACCATGATAGGTAAGGAAGGATTAGACAAATTCCCAAAATCATGGTGATAGGGGATCTCAAGAGAATTGAGACTGATAACCTCCACAGATCCTAAAACGGTGTTTGAGTCGATCGCTGCCGCACCTCCATCGTCGCCCATCTTCTGCTCCGTCATCCTTGCCCCGGAACCATGGAAGTTCTCTAAATTGGAATGTAACGAAGATGAAGAGTCATCCCAAGAGATTACAGGTGGTAGCCCTCTCCAATTTTTTGCATTCAAAACGTCACGATGACGAATCATTGACCATACATAACAATGTTGGTTTTGATTTTGTCAGCTACAACAGCACTATTGGCATCCAATAGGGAGATCCCTGACTCCCTACCACCATCCGGCATCACAGAAACTAGCGGGAAAGAAAGATCCTCCCTAAAAACAGCAATAGAAGTCCCCGAAATATTTTGATCTATGCTACTTACTACTCAAGGAAAAAAAAGTACAAAAGAACTTAAACAAAGGAGAAAGGAAAACCCTCTGAAAAAAAACTCAGCTAGAGGACCGAGAGAAAACGCACACCCTTGATGGGGAGGAGAAGGAGAGGTGGAGAGTAGGCCACTGACCACCCCCTCCCCACTTTTTTTTGCTGTCCTTTGAAAAAACTCAGTCTTTCGAGAGAAGAAAAAAAAAGTTGTACAATCTTAATTATCTTCTCTTTGACCGTCTCTATAACATTTATTTTTCTAATTAATATTGTCTCACTAACATAACTTTTGCTCTCTAACTTCCTCCCCCTAAGCAACCATTTATTTTTTGGAATCTAGATAGCTAACATATTCAGATACCTGAAATATTAGATATTTGAAATTATAGAGATGTCTGACATATCTTTGGATAACCATATTTGTTGGATAGAAATATTTATAAGGACGTTTGATAATATTTGGATAGTTGTGTTTGTTTTACAGGATTTGTAAAAATGTAACTAAAATTATGTATTGTTACAAACAATGCTCTTATCATAGTCATTATTAATTTATATGTTGTTTTTTAATATATAATTTAAATTTATCTAACAAATTTGTTTTTTTATATTATATTTTTATTTCAATTTATTTTATGTTAGGGTCACTGTTAAAATAAAAGAAAGATGGCACATTAGATTTTAATTAAAAATAAGTTAAAAGAGATTATATCATTGACTAACATTTAGTTTTGGTTGGAGGTATATGCCAATTACCGCTGAGCTATGCTCGTTTTGGTATTGACTAACATTTAATTGATATCAAAATGCTGTATAAAAATATAGTTAATGGTTATATTCATTTACCAATGAATAAATGCGCATTGATTTATTTTAAAAATAAATAACGAAATATGAGGTAAAAAAATACAAATAAAGAAGATCGATGAAAGAAAGTATATGTTACCAAAAATGTCATAATTAAGAACATGCAAGCTCATGTTGTAGGAGGGTATTCAAAAGCTACTTGGGCATTTGCCTAATCCTCATGAGATGCTTAGACATCTTTCATTTTTGTCCAACAAAACATCGGAATTTGGATATCCATCTTATCAGAATATTGGATTCCTACCAAGCAAATGATCTCTAAATGATTTTCTCTAACTTTTATTTTTTTATTTCTATGTATTTTTTCTCTCTAACATATCTATTTTAACTCTCGAACTTTCTTTGAAAAAAAATATAGTTATCAAATAGATATGTTTTTTATTTTTTCGAAACTGGAAAATAAAAATAAAAAATAAAAATGGTTATCAAACGAGAACTAATTTATAGATTTGATCCTTGAACGTTTAGGGTTATTACCTATCCAGTTTTTGTATCTTAATTTATCTTCAATAAGTGTCCTTAAACTTTCAAGATTGTCTATTTGGTCCCTATACTTTAAAAAAATTCTAATTCTAATACCTCTTTAAATTTTCAACTTTGTGTCTCATAAGTCCATATCATCATTAACTTTGTCAGTTTAGCAATTGCGTGGACCATGATTGTATTATTTAAAGATTCCATGGTAGGTTGATTTCAGACATTCAGTGAYAACATTAAGTTATTTATAAAGTCAACGATAAAGACTTATTAGACAGAAAATTAAAAAGCTCAAAAAGACTTATGAGAGTTTTCTAAATAAATTCAGCTCCAAAACTCCAGGACCGAATCCATCAGAAAATGAATAGATAGAAAAAAGAAAAAACCCTTATTAGATAGAAAAATTATTATTCAAACACACTTTTAAGAATATCTTTCCTAGAAAG